TTTAACTGCTTGCTACATGACGATGCCGCGTATCAGGTGATACATAATGGTAAAATCGGAGAGGCGTTTTAAGTCACCAGATCGACCACACATAACGCAGCCTTCAGCTGTTTCGCGTATTTTCGACATATTCAAACAATGATGTTGCCTAGGATGACGACATATGAATTGTGTTAACCCATGTAAAGTGTGCTTACAGGCATTATCGCATCACCTTTCCTTGTATGTATTCATATTTATATGTATGCTGTGTAAGTGAAAAATTGCAGATATGCTTACTCCATGTATTAATTCCTTGTCATATTGATGATGCTTGTAAACTGGGGTCCCTCATGTGCATGAAGTGATAATATATTATTATTATTTAAGAAACTCTGGGAAGAAACCGACCAAGAGCTAATCGTTCAACAAATATATAGGAGCAAATGGGGACGGATCGGGCACACGTTGACGAGGCCGTCGAATGAAGTCGCGCACGATACAGGCCATCGCTTCAGTGGAATCCGAATAGGAAGTGACGAGTGGGTCGTCGGTGCTATTGTGACATGGAGGAGATCGTGTAAGCGGGAGGAGAAGATGAGAGATTATGGTCAGTCGTAGACGCAGCTGAAGAGGATGCATAAAATTGAGGAAAGTGGAGCACTGTGTTTCACTCGGAACCCAAGGGAAAAATTAATAATAATATCTTACCAATCACCCAGTTACCACGAATGGCGGCAATCTTAACTCTGACACAACTTTAAATACGTTTCTATCTATCTTTAGGAAATTTTTGAAGGGTAAGGTGAGACAACATTGTAGAGTGTTACTGGAGCGTGCTTCACACGGAACAATAATGCATTGAACTATATATTATTGGTTATTACATTATTTCAAGATTCAGCACAAGCAGAAAATATCTAGCCGTGAGACTCCCTGAAAATTCTGTATTACACCTAATGGACTTTTCAGAATAATTATATATTCTCACTTCATGCACATGAGGGACCCCAGTTTACAAGCATCATCAATATGACAAGGAATTAATACATGGAGTAAGCATATCTACAATTTTTCACTTACACAGCATACATATAAATATGAATACATACAAGGAAAGGTGATGCGATAATGCCTGTAAGCACACTTTACATGGGTTAACACAATTCATATGTCGTCATCCTAGGCAACATCATTGTTTGAATATGTCGAAAATACGCGAAAAAGCTGAAAGCTGTGTTACACAATAATAATTTGTATTTCGTATAAAACGAGTAAGTTTACAAGAAATGCATGCCATTTTCACAGGTACAACCAATTATGTTGTAAATTACAATCTCGAAGTATCACAAATTAATACTGCTTCAAAAGTTTCAATCGTTCAGTTATTGTACAAGCAATCAGAACAGCTTCTTATAAATGTTAAATTGTAGACCCTTCATTAAGGTCACCTTGAAAGCTGAGCGCCAAGCCAAACTTTTTTCCGTTTTGTGCTGATAGTCATGGTCAACCAGTGAATGGCGTATATCTGGGTTTGATGGAAAAACAGAGCGATATTGTTTTTACTGACGTTTCGCTATTTAATGCTAATAACTTTATCAAAGTAGTAATAGTATATAGTAATATATTTATGATTTAGGTCTGTACATCCCTTATACTTTTTTGTTGAGGGTCCAGACTAATGTTTAATTCTCGAGCTGTCAAAAATGCATGTTGCTGTCCCGCAGATCGGAGCGATTCACATTTGTGACCACTACCATATCTGCTGATCAGTATGCACCCCCCTATCTCCTTTTCGATGTTAAGCTGTCACATTTTTTGGCAAAAACTGTATCTGCAGCATTGTATTGCTTTGAGCCTGTCTCAATCATACAGTATACTGCACATTAATAGCTTTCATGACAAGTGCTTCCCATTAGGTTACCAGATACATCGATATATGAGGACATTCTTAGCAGTGTCACTTTTATTCATGCATACATGTTTATAAGTAGATTATTGAACACGACCACGAAATTTAGTTTCCCTTAAAAATTTATAAAGTATGGGTGTAGTTAGCATTACAGTAACTTAGTTACAGTCTATTTAGCAGAGTTAAATGGGAAGTGGGACAATCAGAGATCAAGTTGTGCTGTGGTGCTGTGGTGGCATTCATGACGAATACTTCCCAATAGGTCACCAGATGCAAAGACACATGTGGACGTTCTTAGCACTGTTATCTTTATAAATGCACATGTGTAAATAAGTAGGTTGTTGCAAATGACTAGGAAATTAAAAGTTTTAAAAATTTAGAAGTGCAGAAATCGTCAGTGCTGCGGGGAAATTAAGTCACAGTCGACTGAGCCAAGTGAAGGGAATAATGAAACGGTTAGTAGCAAAGGTAGGTAGTATTGTGGTGAGAGCTGGCTGCCAGTCAAACTGGTAGACAGTAATTTACGTCAATGTTTACGTCCCCAATATTGGTTATGGGCGAAATACGGACGAAAGCTGACTCAACAACCAATTACAGAAGCCTTTGTGTAGGCGGATACAACTTGCAGATAGATAATCTGAACTTCAAGAAACGGCCAAGAAGAGATGAAAGATAAACGTTCAGCGAGAAACTACCAATCAGAAGACTGTGTTTGTTTGCTTACAATAATCTATAATAATGTACATGAAAAACTTTGAATATCTCTTGATTTTCGCAATAAACGATCTGTTGCCTGGCCCCTGTCTTCTGTTGTTACAGTATGATCTTAAGAAAGACATTGGGCTAGTAGCACATACGGTGCTAAATTTTCATGACTGCTTCTAACATGGTATTCGCTAGATGTTGCAAGGAGTCTTTCCACTTATATTATGAAAAATATTATCAAACATTTTAAAAGTCTTCTTTTTATGTAAACGTATTTCTCTGGAAGCCCAGTTGGTAATGTAGTGATAGAATTTCCAGTCAGCCGAACAACTGCACCTTGAGGTTAAGTACTGACATGAAACGGGAAGAAGTTTGTCACATATCTTTATGTGTGGTACGACAACTAGGGTGAATCAATTTCTGAGGGTGCGGGGTGTTGCACTAGGGTTTCTGGTCGGTTATTTATGCTGCTTGGACGGATTTGAGCTGACCCCCTTTGCTTCAACTAGAAAAAACATCCATGAATTCTGTGTGGTCAGCCTGCTAGACTTGAGCTTTGACCACACTACCCGTCGACTTTTTAGCATGGACCACCTAAACTGGTCGCCAGGCCGTTCTTAGCACCGCCGCGGCTAGTGAAGGCAGAATATAACACTTACGCCTGTTCAAAGGTGCATTTGCTAACGGTAATGTGAAAGGAGTATGGAGATACAGTCACACCAAAACTCGGCTGGCAAGCCCTTGTCCCTTGAAGATCCAATTAACCACTTGTCCCAATCCCTGCAGACAAACAGGTTGACTGCTGAAGGTCAAACGGCTGAGGTTCAACTGATTTAAAGAACTCCTCTGACCACATACCGTACCAATACTGATTAAATGGCCGATGTAAATGAAGCGTCGGTAATTAGATCGAAGGACATCTATTGGTGGGAATTCACACAAGAGGCGTTGGAATTCAGTAGGACATTGGTAAGCACGAGCAGAAAGTGGAAGTCCATTCTACAATACACTTGACCGTATCGTTGAAAGCCATGAGCTGCTGCTTTCAACGTTGCTGTATAAGAGGCTGAACACGAAAGTTATGTTGAGCTTTGAGGGCTCTGATAAGAGTGGCTCAAATTCATATCACCGAAAGTCAAGTCTTTATATGTGTAATAGGCACCGTGTAAAGCCTTGCTGAATATTTTTAATAAGAACCCTATCATATCTGTATATAAGAACGGAGATACTTGTGTTATACTGGAATACTGGCCGAAACATGACTTCGTATGAGAGGACTTTAGCCTCGGTTGTATACACTTTTTGGTATAAAAAGCCAGTGAGTCCTCGGCACTTAGAGACAACCGATTATGAATAGCGACTATATGTTAAGTTTCGTAAGTGAGTAAAGCTCAGGTCTTTTGTTTGGTTTTGGGTTTGGAGGAAAAGATCATGCGGTCAGAGTAATAGTTACTGAAGTATTGGATCCCACAATTTTCAGAGCTGAATGGTAGTCAGCAGGCATTGGGCCAGTTACATATCCTTTTGAGGCCCGTTCGTATCTAGCTAATGTTGGCTTAGGGGTTACTTAATTACCACCTACGATATTACAAGTGACCAGAGCCGACCAACAGTACTGTCAGTATACTCCGTGCAATTCGCGAACGTTGATACCGTCAGCCTTTAGAACTGACTCACAGAAGAAGTGATGTCTGCAACCTCAACTGATTCATTCAAGAAGGGTTTGGACAAGCATAGAAACTTACTAGAAAAGGATTAACATAGGCTTCAAGTCCTTTATCTTCTACCAAGAAATCTGAAGTCTTAATGCGAAGTCCGAATATTGTTAGAAATCTTTTGTATTGAACCATGCAGCGACACAAGGACTTCATCCAAATGGCCTATCCCCTTAAAATCGCATACACCATTCAAAGGTAGACAATTAAACTGGTCGTTTTACTTCTTTACATTCTCTTCCGTCTTACTCTCCTGACAGCTTTAACTAAACCTATTATTATTATCATTATTACTGGTATATATATTATTCATATTATTCTTCAAATTTAATCAGCTGACTGTTGTTACGTTTTCTTATTCTTTTTCTGTCTGTTAGTCTGAATACCTTCACTAATTATATCTATTATTATTATCCCTTTTCTATTTACGACGATACCGAAGGACCAACTGGTGAAAGGATCAACTCCATTCACAGTAGTAACAGTCTTAACACACCTCATACTACAAACCACATATAATTAATCCCTGCACTACTCCTTTTGGAGTCAACCAAAGCTACGGCATTCGAGTGGCGGGATGAGCTACGCAGACGTTTACCGAAGATCAGGAACCTCTACCTCACAATAAAGAGGCTAGCACAGAGAAATCAAATTGGTTTATACTAGCTGGTAAAAACGATATTGGATATATTGGATATTGGAGGTTGCGTGGGAATTACGGTTTTTCAAGGTCTCTTCCAGAACCTCATGTGAACGAGGCTTGACGATTACTTTCCTGTTACGACAGTACACTATCAAGGTAGATGTTACCTAAATCACCTTAATTAGCTATTTGAAGTGATTAACACGATTACTTCAAGCCTACTATCCTGTATAACTAGAGAAACACTGATAAACTTCCTTTTAACTACAATGGAATCTATTGATTCGATGCTGTATTATTTTTCACCGACAGTAATTGATTTCCCGATATATTCGAAAAGATTTAGGCCGAAGTTGAACTATTGCAACTAAAATCACAGTGACATCGAACGATCATCCAGTGTTCAGACACTAAATGCCCCCCCCCCCTAGTCGTTGGAAAATGCATTAAGAAATACTGAAATTGTTATATTACGCTAGTTAACTGCCACTTATGTGTTGCAATGATTTCTAGTCGCTACACGCATAGTTAATAAAGAATTCATACCATGCTCGATAGACATATCATAGTACTTTGAAATCCAGGCAAGAGTAAGCAATAAACACCTAAGTCAAATGACTTTGACTTGATGGTTATACATGCAGATGCAACCACTTCACATGAAGAAGTCTGTAAATGTTGATAAGTCGTACATAATTGGTGATTTTTTCAGACACCTCGAAATCAAAGCTCTTCCTTAGTAATATTGCGTATATGCAACCAGCATCTGCTACAGATGGAGAAATAGAGAATACATTGGTTTGATATGTCTATAACCACTTCTATAAGAACCTAGGACCAGTTTTTGCAGCATATTAGAGATATATACCCTATATGATTCATTTTAATTACATATATATCTTAAGGTACACTTCCTTGTAAATTGAGTTCAACTTTTCGCCTAGAAGAATCTGAATGGTTTTGTCATTTGACTTTGGTGTCTATTGTTTACTCTTGCCGAAATCCATTGATATTTTTGACATGGTTCTTCAACCTCCCCCTAACTCTATCTGTAATCTTAACCCTAACTTTAAATCTAATCCTTACCTTAACCCCAGACGGTAACCTTAATCTTAGAAAAGCATAAGAGTATAGATCTACAAGGAAGTTCCCAGTGGACGAGTATAATACTGTATTTACCCTCACCAAATCAAGAGAGACACACATGGTTTGATTTGAAATGACCTTCCATGGCATTCCTTGAATCTGATTGTTCCTTCTAGGTTAGCTGTTGACAGATCTTGACTTTGACTGTGATAGTTTACATCTGCCGGCTTTAATTCATTCACTTTTATAGGTGAAGCATGTGCGTGTTGTTTACCATCACTTAGATTTTGTGTCCACTACTTTATTGTTTAGTGTGTATTATGTTTGATTTACTTTCCAGGCTCTTCTGTATGGATTTGATGTCTAAAGCCATATTAATTCACACTTTCTGGTGCCAGTAACATTACACCGCATACCTAAATATTGCAACATTATGGAACGTCTAACATTATTTCACTTACGGCAAGCGGATAGGAGTAATGAACCGGAGACGAAGACTATCATTGATCAGATGGATACAGAAAGTATTGTTCGGAAGGCGTACTACGAGAAACTTTGTCAGTGGAAAGACGACGCACTTCGACTGTTCAAACTGAATCATGTTAACTACCTCTACAAGAGACTTTATAATCTGCCCTCTAGTTTCGAGAATCTGGATGCAAGTCAGTCCTGGCTGGCGTATTGGATGGTACATGGTTTAGGCCTGTTGAACGTCGAGATTCCGGAAGAAATGTCTCTGAAATTGATATCACTAATTGCAGATATGCAGGTATTTATCACTTGTTATTTTCAGAAATTTCTCTAGAAACCAGGTTTGTATTTTACCCAGTTTAAGAATTATAGTTATTTTTGAGGCCTGTGAACTATTATTGATGATTGGAATTAAGTCTAAAGTTTCCGTATTCCACAGATTAATGGTGCATCTCATAATTTTTACTCAGTGTTTTTAAATGGACTCTACTTGCTACTTACTATGCGATATGATCCGGTAAAACTCCTTGGAAAAGCAATGCGTATAAAGCCGCTTTTAATGAAAGCATTAAAAAATAATTGCCATACTCATGTAAGAAGTCTCGGCTTTCCAGTTTCTGAAGAAATTGTCAAATGTAATATACCAGTTGGTTAACTAGTGTATTGCAGTTGGTAGTGCTTCACAATAATTGTTCACCTTGAAATCACTTTATTAAGGCGTATGTTTGCCTTTTTTTTAACCTATCGTTAGAACTCCTTACTGCACCTTAGTTGTGGCCGGTGAACTGAATCGTATTGTTTGTTTGTCAATAATATGTAAACTAAGCCTTCTAGGTTGTTAAACAGAAGTATGCTTTGTTTATATTTGATATTCGTTCTTCAGTAGTGAAGGCATATACACTATTCCTTTAGCCCCATTGTTATGATGTCTTATATTCCAAAGAAGTAAGTTAATTCCGACTTGGTTTGAGCTAGTAGTCACTTACACAGATGAAATAAGGCTTCTGTTGGTCTACTGAAATCTTTCACCGAATTTGGTCATCCCGACTGATTAATGTGAACATTGAGTTAATGTAGAAAAATACTGTTGCATTACAAGCACTTGGTAACTACACACGCAGGTCATATCTTCTGTGAACTAGTGTTAGTCTGACACATTTACTGATACATCAAAACAGTTCGTGTTTGTCTCGTCCGACTGTCAGACTCAGTGATCAGGTAACAGTCATTATCCTTCTCTTCCAAATTCTTAAAGAAAAAAGTGATTTCAGGTGAACTGAACAGCTGGGGATTTTCAGTCACCTCCATGTTTCTGGTAGCACGCAAAAATTGTCTTATCATCTACTCATTCTATCAATCCCCATTACTAACAGTGTTCTTTAATCTCATGTCTAGCTATTTTTAGTTGATATCGTTAACACTTCATGACAACCTCTATTGTAATCAATTCCAACTGTATGTTGGCGCTTCTATGCCTAAACCAAGTGCTAACCCGAACAACAATGATTACTTGACAAAATTTGGGTTGTACATAATATTTTATGCAAGGTTCATGTGCGTTTATTCATTTTACTCACCTGAAAAATGTGGTTTTATGACTAGTTCTAATCTGCTCAAGCTGCTATATCAAGTTCACTGAAACATGTGTTAGAAGGCTATATGAATTTGATAAAAGAAGTAAAGGTTATGATACTAATAAATAACTGTTAGTAGTTCTCCTGTTCACCCATCGGTTGAAATTCAGATTAGGTGAAATATGAACTATATATAAATGATCATTTTAGATGTTAACACCAATGTCATTTTTGACTAAACTCATTTATTTCCTCGTACAGGACCCAAATGGTGGCTTCGGCGGCGGACGTTATCAGTTTCCACACCTTGCAACATCATATGGTGCAGTCAACTGTTTAGTATCACTTCGTCGTCGAGATGCTCTAGATATTATCAATCGAGATGCTCTGGCTAACTGGATGCGGAAACTGCGCCAACCAAATGGTTCTTTCTTAATGCATGTAGGCGGAGAGATCGATGTTCGAGGTGCATATTGTGCTATAACAGTGGCTAGACTGACAGGACTTCTCAGAAAATATCCTGATTTGTTCGAATCAACCGCGGAATGGGTGGCTAGTTGTCAGGTTGGTTTTAACGCCTAACATTTTGGTTGATATTAACTGCAGGCTGAACACAGTATTCTTTATAAAACAAAAATTTGTACTTAATCCCTTTTGGATATATTAGTTTTGGAAGCGTTCATGAATTTCCATCACAGAATAAAAGTTAATACAGTGATGACGTCTCGGAGAGCAACTTATAATTATAATTAAAAATTATATCAAGGCATTCACATAACTTTCAAACTTTATACTATTTCTTATTCCTTTTGATTTTATTTGTAGTAATATTTTACGTATTGGCGTTGGATCATACCTGTTGTGTTAAGTTTAGATTGCATGGACATAAACCTCTCTCTTCACCTACCCGTATTACTTTTTAGAAACGTAGCTCTATCCCACCCTATTGTGTACTAGTATGTGTATTTCAGTTACTTAATTTTTCCCTTAACTAACCATCTTGCTAGCGTCAATTAAATAATTAAAAAAAAATTTCGTAGATGTATTACCCTTTATGGAATTTCAATGTAGGAAAAACAACGGTACTATCGTTTGTTTCGTCGGCTCCTCATCATCTGCGTACAACCTGAAATAATTAATTATATTTATGTAAAAGGCCTTTTCAAAGTGCTTCGAAAGATGGCATGATGTTAGTTAACAGGAGACTGAAGTTAATGAACAGTGCTCAGAAATCACACGTATGAATTATGCAGTGAAGGTTTAGGGTTAAGCAAACAAACAAACAAAATTAATGTTTGAATACAATGGGAAAAGAGTTGCGAAATAGGAACAGGAGATGGATGAGATGTGAAGTAAACTAATAATAAGTTGCATAACAGTGTGTTTAGTTCAGTGTAAATCATAGAAACAAAAAGAGGATACTCAGAGATGTAACCTACGAAAAAGCAATAGGTTAAAGAAAAAGAGATTGCGTAATTGGATGAGAGTAAAAAGTTAAGAAATCAAGCTACCGGGGCAAGAAAAGAGTGACAACTGCTTCTTTCTGAACGCATAAATCTGGTTTTAAACATTTTGTGGCAGTTGCTCAGTCAAATCTGAAGAGAATTGAACTGTACTATCTGTTGGTAACTTAAACGAACTTCACGGTGTCCTCTTCATGACCCATTTCGCTGACACACCTGGCAACAGGATTGTAGGCTTTTTAGTTTATGTTCAAAAAATATAAGATGCGCCCTTCTTTCTCTTCTCCCAATGTAATTGATACGACAGATGCGTGTAAACTCTACCATACCATATTTAGCACGAGTTTTGTGTGAAGAGAGAGTCAGATGTCAGAAAAGAACTTATAAAGTTTTTAAATCAGTAACTGAACTGTAGAGTATGAGCAGAGATTATTATTATCGCATGTATTATCTATGATATTATCTATTTACAATTCATTATGTTTCCTCCAACCTTCACTTTCTTGAGGTTTTATTATTGATTTGTTGAAAATTTTATGTATCTACACATTTGTAAATGGAGCTAAATTGTCGCAATAGGTATAAAAGTGCTGAAAATTGCATTCTGTATAATTATTATTGTTTGGAACATAGTGATTATTATTAAGCTATCTATTGTTCTTTGATTGTACCAAATAGCTGCAGGATAACTTCTGACTAGTGAAGCATTCAGTCTTCTGTTGACTGTTACTGAAGTATTGTCACCTTTGGAATCGAGTTGTATGAAAAAATAGGCTTCTTTTTCACTGTGATTTGTTTCACATTTGCATCTTCACATCTTCTATGCCCGTTAATTATTTTTCGAAGATAACAGGCATTTTTCAATATCTCAACAGCCACAGACTCTTCCCCGCCAATTTGTCAGCAGAATATGTTCTTCTGGCTTTGTAAAAGTTTTGACGAATGGTTGTTTTTTTTAGCTGGAGCCTTAGATTCCACAAAGTGTATTTTTACTCAAATGTATTCTCGTTTTACCACTATGCAATGGATAATTCAGCATCTTGTCAATCATTTCCTTTATTAGACCTATGAAGGTGGTTTCGGTGGTCAACCGGGATTGGAGGCCCATGGTGGTTACACTTTCTGTGCTATAGCGGCATTGTGTTTCTTGGGTAGATCCGATCTAATCAATTTACCCAGACTGTTGCGTTGGGCGAGTCATCGGCAGATGGCGACTGAAGGTGGTTTCCAGGTAGATTTTTCTTATGTTTAATTTATTATTATTATTGGTATCAGTAGTAATGCAATGATGCTATTAACCTTGCCTAGTCTACCAGCTTGGGAACAGAGGAAAGGTATGAGGTATGGCTCCCCTGGGAAATCAACCAAATTGCTATAGGAAATTTAAGGCACAGAGAAATACGGGGAAAAAGCCCATTGTTCTCTGGGATCACGGGGACGGAATAAAGCTGGCTGGCAGAAGCCAGTCAGTCGATGTGGCTTCTTCCGATGAAAGTGAAAGCAGGCATAAAGACATGATGTATCCGAATGATGCTCACTGAGCTGGCATGGCTGCTCAGATCGCCGAACGTGTGAGAAAATATGACATCGAAGTGCTTGGGTTCTATGAGAAGAGATGAAATGGATGTAGACTCTTCATATTATTAACCGCATAATCAGTAATCTACCGAAGAAAGGCGACACTCAGCCTACTGGACACAAAGTAGAGCAGATTTAAGTTTAGGCTACTGTCAACTGCAAGGAATCCTCACGATCAAGTTAAAAGTCTTCGAAGAAGCTGATGATGGACCATAATACAAATTGAACACTCAAAAGCTGAAGGAAAAAGGACACACATTCACTGCAGTCATCGGGGAAATGCCTGGGGCGTCAATCAACATCACTGAGGAAACCTGTATGGGAGAACATTGGAAATCTCTCTCTCCCTCTAAACAAACTGAAGGAGTTGCCATGGTATCACCAATATCCCCAGTTGTAGCAGATATATTCATGGGTAGGTGGGAAAGCATGGCGATTGAAACGTTCACCCCCACCCCGAAAGTATGGTGCAGGTATGTAGATGACACATTCACTGTACTTAGAACACAAGATATAGATAGATTTTTCGAACACATTAACTCGAAGGTTGAAGCAATTCAATTCACTTATGAATTGGAAAATCAGGAAAGGGAGCTTCCAATGTTAGATTGCAACGTAAAAAGGAAAGAAGATAGGCAGTTAAACACTAGTGTTTACAGGAAACCCACACACTCAAACAGATATTTGGACTTCCGATCGTCCCATCCTATGTCAGTAAAATTAGGATTGGTGAAATGTTTAAATGACAGAGCACAAACACTAAGTAGTACCAAGGAAAATCTAAGACAGTAAGTGATACACATAAAATAAGCCCTGATAAATTAGTCGGGAAATATGTAAGGAAATGTAAAAATAAAATAAATAATGATAGCGACAGTGATAATAACAATAATAATGATGATAATAATAATAATAAAATTAATCACGAAAAATACCCATTTATTCATAAGTAAAAACACAGTTTTTTGTTCAGCGAAGAAATTTCTTTTCAACGACTTCATTTTCAAGCTGTACAGTCGTATTTATATTACAGAAAAGGTTATTAAGTGGCACTGAATAATTGCTCAGTTAATATACATATATGTGATAAGAATAAGAATAATTAAAATGTTACAAGGGGTAGAGTTGAAGTGGACAAATTACAAAATTATTAAAGATTGTTTTATAAGTGAATTGAAATCAGAAATGTTTTAAAAATAAAATGTAATTTCTGTAATATAAATACGACTGTACAGCTTGAAAATGAAGTCGTCAAAAAGAAATTTCTTCACTGGACCGAAAACTGTTTTTACTTATGACTAAAATTAATGACGACACCAACAATAAGGAATCTATATCATCAGTAGTAATTCCACACAAGGAAGGAACCTCGGAGGTTTTACGCAGAAGTCTTAACAAGGCAGGAATGAAAGTGGCATTCAAACCTACAAACTCAATTAGAAACAAGCTTTGTCGGTTAAAGGATCCTGCCTGTGGAGCCTTTAAAACAAAACAATTAGGTTTATCTAATACCCTGCTGGAATGATTGTCAGGTGAAATACATAGGTCAAACTAGTAGACCAGGGGCAGTCAGACTAGCTGAACATAAAAACCTAGCAAAATCTCGATAGGTTGACCCAAATAAGATAAGAAATCTAGAGAATAGTTCGGCTATAGTACTACATGCAATCACACACAACCATACAATAGGATGGGATAGGATGACAGTTTTAAAATCTAATGTCACAGGGTATAGGGAGAAATTGATCACAGAAGCTTTGTTTATCGAATCAACTGCAAATACATGTAATAGGAATGATTCATCACCTATCCCAGATATCTGGAAAATTCTACTACCCCACAGACGACAAATAGGGGAGAACAAAAAGACTATAAAACTCAAAGTCGTGTGATTACAATTGATATGATTATGAAGAATAAGTGAATTCTGTTCGAAACGTCATCCAGTAAATAATACTGTTTCACTGTGTGATATATCAAATAAACAAACTAATATGGAATTACTTACTACCACAGTGCCCAAGTTTTAAACATATACTCTAAAAGCTTCATGGAAAAAAACTTGTAAAGATATCTTATTCAAGAAGAAGAGGCAGAACAAATAATATCTGTGTAGGGGTATCCGAAAGCTGAGAGAGGGACTGTGAAACAGAAGACGAAGAATGAATACAATCTACAGTGGGCTCAACAAATGAATGGTGAAGATTGCTGGGAAGAGGAAAGACTTTTCAACAACACCACTGACAAGTGAAGCAAAACAGACTTCAATTAAAAGGAGATCTTAGGACATTTTATGAGATCACCAGTTCTCTATTCGGGACGAGATCAACACAGATAAAACCAATGAAGGATAGTGAATGAAAATGCATTACTTCTAAAGGCTTGGAATAGGGTGAATGTCACGCTGTTGACCTCAAAGAGCTTTTGAATTGACCATCGGCTACAACTCCTCCAGCAATACCACCAATAGGCATAGAACTGCTAGTGAACACCAACCCTCCGTCAAAAGTAGAAGTCCTGAGGACCATGCCGTAACTGAACTCTCAGAAAGCAGAAGGATCAGATGAGATTCCCTTCAGAAGCACTGAAAATGGACATACGATACTATTGCAGAAGTTTCAGAAGAAAATACAGGTACCTACTGGCTGTCAGAAGCGTTGCTGGACACAAAACTCGGTCTGGAATAAGCTGGTTTCAGGAAGAGCAAATCATGTGAAAATCACATTGTGACGTTACGCAACACCACCGACACAGAGCATACAATGTCAATCACCTTTCTCTACCTTATCGTCATCGAGTTTGAAAATGCTTTCGCAGCGTCGACCGTGAAGTAATTTGGAAACTGCTTCAGCTCTACGGAGTGCAGCGCCGCCAACCATGTGTCGAACTATAAGCCATTTTTTTTGTATGAAGACGAAACGAAGTGGACAGTATTATGTTGAGTTGTTAAATTCAAATACCTATTTCAAAAAGAGTTAAGCACCCAATACCCTGAGAGGTATTTTGACGACTGCCTCCTACACGATATCCTTTTTTGAATAAAAGTTAATTATATGATTACAACCATGCTTACAATTATTATTCTCCTCAAATCTTGTTTAATCCAAGCATATATAATCAACGGCCCTCACCCTCTGATTTTTTTGTTTTGTCTTTTCTCTGAAGGGTAGGACAAACAAACTGGTGGACAGTTGCTATTCATTTTGGCAAGGTGCTGTTTTCCAAATAGTTGAAGAATTGTTATGGTTGTCAGGTGATCCTGCCCTCAATGATACGGACACCTTATATAATCCATCTGCTTTGCAAGTAAGACATGACAGTTTATTATATTATTATTATTGTTCCCTAGGGTTCCTAGTGGAACATAGGGCTTCAACTGCACGTCTCCACTTGCTTCTGTCTTCTGCTGTACTTTTCACATGCATCCATGTTAGTCCATACCGTTTCAGCTCCTCTTCACACGATCTCCTCCACCTCACCCTTGGACGTCCCACTCGCCGCTTCCCTTTCGGTTTCCACTCGAGGTCCTGACCCGCTATGTCACCCAGCGGCCTCCTCAGTGAGTGTCCAATCCATCTCCACTAATATTGCCTTCATATATATATATTATATATATATATATATATATATATATATATTAAAGCAATTAGTCCCTCTGATAAATTTGAATAAGGTATTTAGAAGACAAATTTCGCGAGATGATATCTTCATTTCGTAGTTCCTTTACAACCTCTTTACAACTAACATGCTTCATAATAATAAAAAAATTAAATGCATGACAATTACTCAGTTAAATAAAACAAAAGTACACACTAATGAACAAACCAATCATATTTAAATAGGTCAAGTAGTCCATAGTAGAGGTAGGTTCAAGTCTAGTGCTTTTTGTGCACATAGTTTAGGATATATGTGATTAATCACTCTATCCCAACTACAGTTGGAAGCATTATCGTACGAGTTGAAATACAAAAGTATCCCTATGAAAATTTAAAAAATGGAACTACAATCACAGTATGAAAGCCTCTATGAATAAAACTCTGATTCAACTCCCTCTAGTAAAGATAACCCGGACTGGTTTAAAGTTAAACTGGTGGATATTTCTCACCAACTTCTGAATGCCAGAATACACCAGAAAAATGGTTTATGAAAAGAACACCACTCCTCAATTTAGGAATTAATTAATCGATAAAGATAATCTTATTATCCTTAAACCTGATAAAGGAGAAGGCGTTGTCATCATGAATAAATCGGATTATCAAATTAAAATGAACGAAATCGTCAAAGATAAGTTGAAATTTCTGGTGGATACTACTACTAATTATGTGCTGCTTGTGGAAAAGCAGATCAATCGTCAGCTTCAGATTTTACTGATGCGCATGGTTTTATAAATGAAAAACTCTATATACAACTTGAAGCTGTTGGATCACACAGTCCCCGGCTGTATGGCCTTCCAAAGATTTACAAAACTGGGAACCACCCACTCAGACCAATCTTAGATATGTCGACTTCACCATATCATTAAAAAATCGCAAAATGGATTATAGAGGTCCTTACGCCTGTAAGAGACTTATTATCAAATCATTCTGTAAAGAGTTCATTCAATCTGACCAGTATGCTAGACACCTTGAACATTAAGGAAAAGGGTATGTGCTCAATCGACGACATAGAGCCTTTATTCACCGATGTTCCTCTTCATGAAATTGTTGATTTCATTTGCGATTACATCACAAGCAATGGGATAAACTTACTTATTCCTATCACTTACATCAGGGACATTATCTTAATGTGCACAGGCAATATCAGATTCACCTTCCAAGAAGAGGCATACAAACAAGTCGATGGTGTTGCGATGGGGAGTCCTATTGGCCTTTTGATACAGTGTAGAATTTTCCGCATGTAATACAAAATTTCACCTAATTTACTCTTTTCGTTACATAGGAGGAGAGGAATAATTTTCAGGAGTTAGTGTTTGTAGGGATTTGATTTATTTCAAGCCTGACCACGGATTGATTTCAGTGAGGGAACCACTGGAAACTGGGGAGTATGATAGAGAAGATTTGTAGCTTAGGTGGATGATTTTGATGTGCTTGTGTTCTCTGAGCTGGATAGTTTATTTGCGAAGCTTTCATCCCCCTACTAGGCGACATCTTCAGCGCAAACTTCAATTTGAAGTGAGCTTTTAGATTTCTCCACGAGTTTATTAATGATCTCTCCTGGTGACCTTGGACTTGATTGGTTGTTTGTGTGTGTGTGCCAAGCTTTTAGAAGCTTGGCATTCCAGTGAATTATCAATCAATAGACACATCGAGATAGACACAATTTATCAACCGATAAGAAAGAAACCTCACACACAAAGCGTCAAAGTTCACAATAAAGAAACAATCAATTCCAATACAAATAGTCTAGAAGGTGTGAAAACACAAAAACAACCAATCACGTCCAAGGTCACCAGGAGAGATGACTAAGAAACTGGTGGAGAAATCTAAACGCTCACTTCAGTTCAAATTGAAGTATGCGCTGAAGATGTCGCCTAGTAGAGTGATAAAAGCTTCGCAAATTAACTATCCAGCTCAGAGAACTCCATTATGGAGTAAATGACACACACACATGTATATAAATGAAGGAAAAATTTGTGTGAGTAGTACCTTGATATGATTATGAGCAGTAATAATTTGTGCTCAAAACGTGGTCATCAGTTAATATTACTGTGTAACACTGTGTGATTTTATCAAAATAAAATCTTATCTATAATGGAGTTATACTCTACCACCACAGTGCCCAAGTTTTATACTTATATCAATAATACAGGTCATTTACACTGATAAGGATATGAATGTAAAATTGAGTAGAAATAGTGACAACAATATCTATTAATGACAGAAATAATAAAAAAATGGGGGGTGGGTTGGCTGTTTATTTACTGCTTCATTTTCAAACAGTACAGTTATATATATATATATATATATATGTATATGTATATATATATATATATATATATATATATATATACAACGGAAAAAGGCTTTACTTTGATCATAGTTATGTTCTTTTTAAAAAAGAATCTATTTTTTTATTTTACCATCTGAATTCATTCCACTTCATCTTCGCCTTCTTTACTGATTTCATTATCGTACTTTTAATATTTGTTTTTTCAGACAACATTTGACCTGATATTTTTAAAATCTTAATATTAATTCACTTAGTTAATGATATTTTTTAGAAGTTTTGTGATACCATCCACATTTTAACTCTACGTGCTTATAACATCATTTTTAATTACATTTATGTTTATCATACAAAAATGTGTGTGTGAGTGCTGAATAAGGTATCATAAAGGTTTTGTGTACCTAGTTGTCCGAACATATAGCCCTTTTTATAATATCTCTTAAGTCCTACAAGATGAGATCCAAGAGGAGAGTTTTGTGTAAAGGATAGGATGCTCAGAGTTCCGACAAGATGATCTGTCTGTGCACAGCTGTATAAGCGCGAGTTACTTGGTTTAGCGACAACTCACTCGCCCTACTAACAGCTTTTAAAATGCCCTTTCCAGTGCGTAAAAGTCTTACTTAAGCAGGTCAGGAAAGATGAAGCTGCGGAGAGTAATGAAGAAGAATTGGGTAGACAATAAGAATTAACACACTGTAGAAGTAGGAACCTGCGTTGGTGGCACAGTTGTAGAATACTCTCTTATCATGCCTCACGTGTTTCGAGCTTCGATCTCCGGCCACCGACAAGGAACTCCTTTACCCTCACTGAGCCATTAATAAGACTGGCAAAAGGAGGGAGGTGGGGCATGAGGCTAGCAACCCCATCTTGTAAAAGTAGAAACACCACTGCTACCGAAACTTCAGGCCTATAGCTTAAAGCCCTATGTTCCACTGGGGACGTAAATGATTAAATAATAATAATAATAGGACAGGAGTAAGACAAGGCTGGCTGTCTACTATCGCCATTGATTTTCCTGATTGCAGTAGATTGGATAATGCGACAAACAGTGGGCAATGAGGAAACCGGCATAAAATGGACTCACACAAAAAACTTGGAGGATCTGGACATCACCGATGATATATGTCTGATTTCCCACAAACTGGAAGATATGCAAGCGAAAAGCAACAACTTGGTAGAAGAAGCATCCAGAGAATATAGGACTTCAGGTGAACATAGAGAAAACAGAGTTGATGAAGATTCCTGGGCAACACCACCAACAGCAACAACAATCAGCATAAATGAAAGGAACTTGAAAGAAGCAACCTCTTTTACCTACCTGGGAAGCATCGTTTCAACTACAGGCTGGCGGAACTGATGAGGATATCAAAGCAAGAATCGGAAAAGCAAGACAAGCTTTCACTACTCTCAAGTCTCTGTGGAGGTCAACAACACTCAGCATCAAAAATAAAATCCGGATTTTCAACTCCAATGTGAAGTCAGTGCTACTATACGGATCAGAGACTTGCACTGCGCTTCATAAAGAGCATCTCAAACAAACTACAGACCTTCGTTAACCGTTGTTTCCGCTCAATACCACTCAAGAACAGATGGCCAGAAAAGATCAGCAACAGAGATCTCTGGGAGCGAACCAATACAGCAGGAACCGATTGTGTAACAAATAGGCAGGAAGAAATGGAGATGGATGGGATTGGCCATACTCTGAGGAAACAAACCATCAAGTGACATCACTAGACAAACCATTGCTCGAGTGGAACCCGAAAGGGAAGCGGCGAGTTGGTCATCAGTGCAAGGCAGAGAGGTCGGTCGGTCGGTCGGTCGGTTTTCGACATAGAACTTTGCACATATGTGCGGCAGTTCAAGTCGCCACAATCTGTGTAGCACACAAAGCAAGAGAAGGAAGTAGAAGAAGTGCATAATATAGACAGTAAACAGAGGTGTGAGACAAAGGAATAGTAATAACGAAGAACAAAACAGTTTAACTGGAAATCATAAGTCACAAGGAGTGGATGCATCTGCGCTAGCCACTGAGAACGATTTTGAGCCATGTCACCAATCGTTTCCAACCATTGGTTTTTACCGTCCCGAGGACCCCAACCAGGAAGTCTACACCTTCCTACGTGGCTTAGACTAACTGTTGTGGATTTCATTGACTGGTGCCATGTTTTCGTTTGACCGCCGCTAGCTCTTTTCCAGCCTGACCAATCCTATATCAGCTAACATTGCCCGTCGAGGAAGGCGATGAATTGCTAGGCATACGTAGCACATGTCCTAACCATCTCAGTCGAAGTAATTTCACAGTCTCGTCGACTGATTTCCCCGCCTTACCTAGCACTCGACGCCTAACCTCAATATTGCTC